TCGTCTTCCTCGTCCAGCGTCCACGTCCGTCGTCGTGGCCCTGGCCGTTGCTCTCGTCCGACGTCCTCGTCGTTGTCGCTTGCGCGAGCCAGAGGGGCTCGTACTGCGAGCACCCACCGTGGCGTTTCAGAAGAAGAGGCCCCAGCCGCCATATTTACATACACTTCCCATCATGCACACAAAAGCAGCCTGGCCAAAGACGCGTCGCAGTGCGACCTGCGCGCATCTACACTGGAGGCAGATGGAAACCGCTGTGCTTAAGATACTGCTGGCGGCTAACACGGAATCCTGGCTCACTCCACCCATCGTCTGCAAGACGAAAACGATCACGGGAACGGCGACCGTAGCGACCACGACGAAGATGCCGAGGGCGACGACGACGACGACGCGGAAGAACCAAAGGTGGTCCCCTCGAAATTGTGCTGTGAGACGCACGGCCCTGGCTGGAGCGCTGCTGCCGCGTAATAATACCTCGCCATGTCATGTTCAGTCCTCGTCGGTCTCGCCACAGATCCGGGTACAGATGCCTGGTCAGACTGCTGGATAACTTCGGCCCCGACGGTAGCATGAACACTCAGGTCGTACCGCGCGATACCAGCCCGTCGGTCCGCTGGACGGTACAACTGCGCATCGTTTGAATCAGCCTCTTGACACGAAGAACTCCAAGAATATCTGCGCCCCGACAAAATGAAACCTCTCGTTCCCGCTTTCAGCATGAAAGAACCCAAACTCTAGCTGGATTGTGTTGCTGCGCAGGACTAGCGACTGCGATGAGTCAACAACTCTGACCATTCGCTCTCAGTCATCAGCCTCTTTGCCTTCCTGCCTCAACTCTCCCACCTCCTCCTCCGCCTCCTCTTGCTCCTTCTCCTCCTCCTCTTCCTCTTGCTCCTCCTCCTCCTCCTCCTCCTTCTGCTCCTCCTCCTCCTCCTCCTCCTCCTCGTCCTCCTCCACCCCCGGCCTGCCTCCTCCCTCCGAAACTCCTCCACCTCCGACTTCCTCCTTGCAGGCCGGCAGGGGCGGAGTTCGCGGCGGCACGGGGGCGCCCGCATCGAGGCGCGGAAGGACAGCGCACGTCTGAGCGTCTTGGGCGCCTCGGGGCAAGTCGCGGGAGGGGGGGCAGAGAAGGAGGGGAAGGGGAGAGGGAGGGGAGAGGGATTTTTCCTCCGCGAGGCCATTCACCTCTGAAAAACAGAAGCCGCAGCGAGGGGATACGGCTTCCCCTGGTCGGCTACCTCTGTTAACCTGTGACCAAGGCCCGACCTGGACAGTGATTCCTGGGAATTTCGGGTGAATGCCCTGGGAAATCTGCTTCCAAGCGAATCTGGCTCCCGCGATTGTGGGGAGGCCGAGACACTTGCGCGCAAGGTTGCGCACATTGCCGTGCCCAGAGTAGGCCTTGCATCCTAGGCAAACCACCAAAGAAGCGCCATCTGAGCAATCAAAGTTATAACTCGATGCTGGAACCTGCTCCACACGTCAGGGTCTAGCTTCTGTAGGCCCCGACAATGACCAAGCAACGGACGACTGCCGGAGCGGGAGACCTTACAACAACCGTCACAACGCCAGAATCTCGAGACGCGAGTCCAACAAACAGTGCGGGGCGAGGTCGGGGCGGGGCGCCGCAGGCGGCTTCACACGCTCAACTCCCTCTCCTAGCCGTAGGGGCGGCCAGAGGGGCAGCAACTTTGCTGCCAAAACTCCAACCGCGCGCGAGACAGCAATATTCTGATCCACAGCCTGCATAACGAGCGGGTCAGGCTGGGGGTGAGAGCGGGCGGCGACTTTGGCAGAAGCATCGACTCGGTTGTTCCCCAGTCGCTTAAATGTGTCATCAGAATGTGGCATTCACATCTAGGTGCGCTTTAACCTTCTGCATGTTGATGTTGGGAAGGTTATGACGGATAAATTGATCGCAGCCAGCATACATTCTCTTGTGAGAAGTCTGGTTCACCCAGGGCATACTCACATAATCGCACACGTTTAAACAATCACTGAATATCGTGGAAAGCCCACTGAGATGCCGAGCGGCTGCAGTGAAGGCGTGATACACTGCGCTTTGAGGGGTTTGGGGATAGGGAGGCCAGACGGGACCCCTGATGCGAATAACCTCCTCGTGCGTACGACGATCCAGCAGAGTAGTAGCCCAGCCCGCTCGGGACAACTCAGGGATGACATGGTTGAAGCAGGACCCGTCCACGAAGATTTCACCAGAAAACGAGGTTTCGAAGTCCAGGTGCTCGAAGCCTGGGCATAACTCGGTAACCACTCCATCAAAATACATAGGCTGAGAAAGTTGTTCACCTGGATGCTCGAAAACTCCAAAAGACGCTAGAACATCGTCGGCTTTCTCAGCCCATTCGCGCACCTTAGAAGTGATGAGGGAGGCACGAGCCTCTTCGCATGCAGAACATTTCCAACTCGGACAGGCTCCAAGAGACATCAGAAGGCTGACCTAGACCTCTATAAGTTCAGCAAAGATCCCGACAGCAGCCCTCAGGAACCTAGGTCGGTCACCGGCGAGTATGCTGGCTCCAGCTCCGACTCCTGGTTCCCCCAGGAGGCTGGGACATCTTCTATTCTTGCCCGCCTCCCTGGGATAGCAAGGCATTGCATCATCGAACACGGATGTCTGCGTCCCACCACCTCCCTCCTCCTCCACCCTCCCCCCTCCCTCCCTCACTCCCTCCTCCATCCTTCCCTCCCTGCTACCCCGCCGCCCCCATTCCGAACCCACTCCTCCTCCCTCCTCCCTGCCCAACTCTGATCCTCCTCCCTTCCCACCGTGCTCCCTCCTCCTCTCCTCCTCCTCCTCCTCCTCCTCCCTCCTCCTCCTCCTCCTCCTCCTCCTCCTCCTCCTCCTCCTCCATCCATCGTCCTTAAACAAAAAACTCCTCCCTGTCGCACCCCGAGACCAGTCGGTAGGGTGGGCCAGGCATTTCGCGTGAGACTTCCTCACAATGTGCAATCCTGAAGCTTAAAAGTTCCAACAAGTTTCACGGTTGGAAGGCGGGCCCCTTTCAAAAAATGTGGATCTCGCCGTAGCGCCGCACACATTTTTTCAGAAAAATAGCAAAAGCTTCACGGAAGGAGGGCGGCACGTTTTCACAATGTGGTTCGTGCAGTAGCGCCGCGCACCTTCGTTTTCAACATTTGCTAGAGCTTCACGGATGAAGTGCGGGTGGTTTTCAACATGTCGCTCCCGCCTTAGCGCAGCGCACATTCGTTTTGTAAATGTTGTAAAAGCTTCACGGATGCAGGGCGGCTCCTTTTCAAAATGTGGTTCTCGCAGTAGCGCCACGCCCATTCGCTTTCAAACTTTGCCAGAGTTGCACAGATGGAATGCGGGTTGGTGCTCAACATGTCGCTCTCGCAATAGCGCTGCGCACATTCGGTTTCAAAACTTGTAAGAGCTTCTCGGATGGAGAGCACTCCTGTTCAAAATGTGGCTCTCGCTTTAGCGTCACGTACAATCGTTTTGGAACAACTACAGCAGTTTCCTAGCTAGCGGGCGTGTGGTCTCCAAAATGTGGCTGGCATGGTTCATGATGCGCAAAAGGTTGCATTCCAGCAAGGCACTTCCAACAGTGAAAGTGAATCCTTACAGGGGCCTGTGAAGAGGGGCTTGGGGAAGGGTTCACTGCGACGTCGTTGATGAGCCTTGGGTTTGCAGTGGTCCTCCTCCTCCTCTGCCCTGCTACCCCTCCTCCTCCTGCTCTCCTCCTCCTCCTCATCATCATCATCATCACCACCACCACCAGCAGCAGCAGCATCAGCAGCAGCAGCATCAGCAGCAGCAGCATGATCATCGTCATCCTCATCATCATTATCATCAGCATCATCATCATCATCACCATCCTCATCCTCATCCTCATCCTCATCCTCATCATCATCATCATCATCATCATCATCGTCATCATCATCATCCTCCTCCTCCTCATGCTCCTCCTCCTCATCAAAATCATCATCAGCAGCATCAGCATCAGCATCAGCATCAGCATCAGCATCAGCATCAGCATCATCATCATCATCATCATCCATCATCATCATCATCATCATCATCATCATCATCATCATCGTCATCAGCATCATCATCATCATCATCATCATCATCATCATCATCATCATCATCATCCAGCGCAGGGGCGCAAGATCCTCCCCCCGCCCCGGCCATTGCCACCCCATCCTCATCATCATCACCACCACCACCAGCAGCATCAGCAGCAGCATCAGCAGCAGCATCATCATCATCGTCATCATCATCATCATCCTCATCATCATCCTCATCATCATCATCATCATCATCATCATCATCATCATCCTCATCATCATCATCCTCCTCATCGTTATCACCATCATCATCCTCATCCTCATCCTCATCCTCATCCTCATCCTCATCCTCATCATCATCATCTTCATCTTCATCATCATCATCATCCTCATCATACTCATCATCCTCATCATCATCATTATCATCATCCTCATCATCATCATCATCATCATCATCATCATCGTTATCAACATCATGATCCTCATCCTCATCCTCATCCTCATCTTCATCATCATCATCAGCATCTTCATCATCATCATCATCACCATCACCATCACCATCACCATCACCATCACCATCATCATCATCATCATCACCACCATCACCATCACCATCACCATCATCATCATCATCATCATCATCATTACCATCACCATCACCATCACCATCACCATCAGCATCATCAGCACCATCATCATCATCATCACCATCACCATCATCATCATCATCATCATCATCATCATCATCATCATCACCATCACCATCACCACCATCACCATCACCACCATCATCATCATCATCATCATCATCATCATCATCATCATCATCATCATCATCATCATCATCATCATCATCATCATCATCCAGCGCGGGGGCGCAAGATCCTCCCCCCGCCCCGGCCATTGCCACCCCATCCTCCGTCCTCCCCATCCGCCCAGGAAATGGCTTACGGCTTCCGACCGGCAGTCTGCGACTCCCCTGGGGACCCCGGCGGCCTCCCCCAGGGGGGCCCTCGCCACGAGTCGGCCCTTGACGGCCCTGGGGCCGAGAGGGGAGCACTCCAGGAGCCCGAGAGCGGCGAAGGGGCGCCCCAGGGAGAACTCCAGGCCCCGCTGTCCTCAGGGACCACCCTGCTCCACGGCGACCCTCGCTCGTCGACCGCCGATCGACCCCGGCCAGCGGCGCCTGCGCCGTCAGCTCCCGCACGTCGGCGTCGCTGCCGCCGGGCAGCTTCGTGGAGCCGAGCGCCCCGTGGCTGCCGGCCGCCCACGGCATGGGCTCGTCAGCCTCACCGGGCGGTGGAGCAGCAGCACGGACGTTCGGGCAGCACGTGGGGGGAGGGGCGGCACGCCCCCAGGGCAGCAGTCAGTGAGCTGAAACCAGCAGGTGGAGGTAAACCCTGGGGCGAAAAGGGACAGTGGGCCCCGTGCACTGCCGGAGAATGCCTGAACAAGAAGGTGTGGGAGAGGATCGGGCTCCGAGCAAGGACGACTGCCACCGCGTGCGCGTTCGTCTGTGAATATGAGACTGCTGCTGCATACTGTAGAGCTTCGCAAGTTCGAGCACCGAATTCGATGGACGAACCAGTCAGCATGCAAGGTTATGCGTGCGTGTGCGGATGGATGATGATGCGCCGTGTATCCATGGCTGCTCGTGCAGACAGCGGCACACCAGGGCAAGCGCGGATAAGCAGTGATGACATCTAGAACCATATTCCTCATCATATGCAAGCCTCTCTTTGAAATTCCACCCGTTCACAAGCATGGAACACGGCAAACAAATCCAGAGAAAGACAGACAAAGAGAGAGAGAGAGAAAGCGGTATGATGCATGATGGAACATGGCCCAGAAAAACTCGGCCCACAAGCGAAATCTTCAACGAAGAGCAATACGAGTAGGACAAGCACGCAACAAAGGAACACATAGAGCGATGTCAGCCAGCATCGCGTGGGGCTGCACAGGTGCGAAGGCGACTTCTCCTGAAGACAGAACAAAACAAAAACAATTTGGATACGCGTATGGATTTGGTATGGATAAGAACTCTCAGTGCAAAAATGGATTAACCAGGAACGTCAGCTAGGCAGCATGATTCAAATTAGACATGGTGCAAGACGCTCGCCACCCCCGTCGCCAGTCGACAGGATCTGCATGTGAGAAGGTCACATTTGCCATCAGGGAAACAGGCTCTGAGAGAAAAGCACAGGGCCCTGGACCCCAGAGGTCCCCCAGGGGCTAGCTTTCACGACGAATCGTTCCCTGACAACACCAGGGATGTGCCCTGGGGAGCCACATTAGCCTGGCGACGAACCCAATCATATGCAATTGTGAATACCGCAACTGTGGGTATCGTCTTCCGTGAGCCTCCTTATGGGCCACGAAACGCTGTACGTGGTGAGGGAGACGCATGCGAACTGCGCCAGCGGGACCTTCGATGGGGCTCCCTATGGGGCAACGAAGCGCTGTACTGGGCGGGGAGGACGCACGCGAACTGCGCCACAGGGACCGTCGGGGGAGCTCACTATGGGGCCACGAAGCGCTGTGTTGGGTGGGGGGGACGCATGCGAACTGCGCCACAAGGACCTTCGGTGGAGCTCCCTATGGGCCACGAAGCGCTGCACTGGGTGGGGAAGACGCATGCGAACTGCGCCACTGGGACCTTCGGTGGGACTCCCTATGGGGCCACGAAGCGCAGTGCTGGGCGGGGGAAATGCATGCGAACTGCGCCACTGGAATAGGGGGCCACGAAACGCTGTGCTGGGTGGGGGAGACGCATGTGAACTGCGCCACTGGGACCTTCGGTGGAGCTCCCTATGGGCCACGAAGCGCTGTACTGGGTGGGAAGACGCATGCGAACTGCGCCACTGGGACCTTCGGTGGGACTCCCCCTGTGGGGCCACGAAGCGCAATGCTGGGCGGGGGAAATGCATGCGAACTGCGCCACTGGAATATGGGGCCACGAAACGCTGTGCTGGGTGGGGGGACGCATACGAACTGCGCCACTGGGACTTTCGGTGGGGCTCCCTATAGGGCCACGAAACGCTGTGCTGGGCGGTTGGAGACGCATGCGAACTGCGCCACTGGGACTCTCTGTGGAGCTCCCTATGGGGCCACGGAACGCTGTACTAGGCGGGGGGATGCATGCGAACTGCGCCACTGGGACCTTCGGTGGAGCTCCCTATGGGGCCGCGGGGGAAATGCATGCGAACTGCGCCACTGGGAGCTTCAGTGAAGCTCCCAATGGGGCCACGAAACGCTGCACTGCGTGGGGGAGGCGCATGCGAACTGCGCCACTGGGACCTTGGGTTGAGCTCCCTATTGGCCACGAAGCGCTGTACTGGGCGGGGAGGACGCACGCGAACTGCGCCACAGGGACCTCGGGTGGAATTTCTTATATGAGGCCACGAAACACTGTACTGGGTGGGGAGACGCATGCGAACTGCGCCACTGGGACCTTCGCTGGAGCTCCCTATGGGGCAACGAAGCGCTGTACTGGGCGGGGGGGACGCATGCGAACTGCGCCACTGGGACCTCCGGTGGAGCTCCCTATGGGGCCACGAAGCGCTGTGCTGGGCGGGGGAGACGCATGCGAACTGCGCCACTGGGACTTTCGGTGGGGCTCCCTACGGGGCCACGAAGTGATGTACTTGGCGGGGGAGACTGGGACCGTCGGTGGAGCTCCCTACGGGGCCACGAAACGCTACTGGGTGGGGGGACTCATGTGAACTGCGCCACTGGGACCTCCGGTGGAGCTCCCTATATGGGGCGACGGACGCGGCTGGGTGGGGGGAGACGCATGCGAACTGCGCCACTGGGACTTTCTGTGGAGCTCCCTATGGGGCCACGGAACGCTGTACTGGGTGGGGGATACGCATGCGAACTGCGCCACTGGGACCTTCGGTGGAGCTCCCTATGAGGCCACGAGACGTGTGAGGAGGGCGGGGAGGGGGAGAGGAGGGGGAGCAGGATGAGGAGGGGGAGGAGGGGAGGAGCAAGGAAGGGCGAAGGAGAACGCGGGGCACTGTCTTTCCAAATCGAAGACCCAACACCACAGGATGGTTGGGAAAAAAACGGCGATAGACACCTTCCCCCGGAACAGGCCCACCGAACGTGCGCCGACACCGCACCGCCGGAAGCCGACCCCGACAACATGATCCCAAGACCCCCAGGACGGCCCCCAAGAGGCCCCCCGCAGGCCCTAAGAAGCTCCAAGAGGCATCCGAGAGGACCACACGGGCCCAGAGGAACCCTTAAAGAAGACCCACACATGCCCCCTAAGGCATCTACGCCATGCAGGCGCAGTGGCGGGATGTGCCAAAAACCACTAGAATCTCACCCTCGACTTACAGCCGCCGCTGCCCCTGGAACCGGTCGCCCTTCGACCTCATGCCCCCGACCTGTTTGAAGGGGCACTGGGACACACAAATCAATACACACAAATGAGTAGCAGGATTCCCCATATTTTCCCATATTTTCTGGGTTTTTGTCTTCCCCCCCACGTCCGTTATTTTCCCATTTTCTCTTGGGAATCGACGATCAATTGTGTCTGTGTGTTTTGTTCCCTCCTGACTGTTCTCTTCCCAGGGTCGGCGGCACCGGCCGTGACACCTTGCCTTCCATCTCCAGGGGCGAAGCCCCACCTTCCAGCTCATCAGAACAGAAGCAAGAACCCGTAAGTCTCGGCCCCCGTTGGGGAAATAAGGATCCTTCTGGACAACATGTGGTTCTCTCACAACTCACCACGTCCAAGCAAACCTAGACTGAGGTTCATCAAGATTTCTGGATGGATCCATGGAAGCCATTCGAAATCCTGACAGCGTCCTGCATCAGTCTGAGGGTTTCTTCAAGAATCCGGAGGGTTCCAAAAAAAACAAAACATGTCCTCCAGAATTCTACGGCCGGGCTGCTGAAATAAGGAACGCCAAATAAAGGGAAGAACCCCTTTCTGGCACCAGAAGAGCCCTAGTACACCACCAGGACAACGACGGAACGACCTAAGAAACAACGAGCCCCTTCCGAACCCAGAGCGGTCTTCAGTTCAGCGTCTTGGCTGTAAGAATAAACTACCACCACCGAAACACCACCATCTCTGGGCCTCCTAGATAGGGTCGGAGTAGATGGGGTGGGAGGATCGCGCCGCATTGCCGATGCATCGGCGATGCGGCTAGATGTGGAGCCCGATTTGCGTCACGCCGACGTCGCCGATGCACCGCCGACGTCGACGATGCATCGCTGGTGCATCGTCGATGCATCGCCGATGCATCGCGGATGCATCGCCGATGTATCTGCGATGCGGCGCGATCTTCCGACCCCATCTACTCCGACCCCATCTAGGAGGCCTCTACCATCATCATGACCATCGACATCGAATGGAGGCGAGGCCAGCGCCAATCCCGCTTCGAACGCGCGCCCGGGACGTCTTCTGAGGAAGCCGGCGGCGGCGCCGTGGCCCCTCAGCGTGCGTCGGCCCATCGCTCTCGGGGTCCGCGAGGACGTCGCGTCGCGAGCTGACAGACTTGTGAGTCCCAGCGATGAGCTTGGCAACTCCGTCGATCTGGGCCGTGCTCGAGGACCTTCGGGCCCATCCGATTTGCATGAGTTTTTGACGGTTCACCCAAGAAGTCCATGACCCGAATCTACGAACGTTTCCTCTAAGCAGTGCGTGGCGCGTCTAATCCAATCCACCCAATTCCAGGCCGAATCCTTTGTTCTTCGTGGTGTTGTCGCAAGTGTTGATTGTTCGTCTCTGTGGCACGCCCACTATCATGCGTAGCATCCGGCGTTAGGATGGCACCACAAGTTGCTCCAATGCAGCAGTCATCGTCCATGATGCACATCCGCATAGGCTTGTAGGCGTCACGATGCCTTCGAATAGTCTGAGTGTGTCGTGTAATGGTTACGACTGGCATAACAGCTCCTGCTTGCACGACTAGAACTTCTCCCAGGCGGCTTTGATACGCGCGTCCATTGCCAATTTGATTTGACTGCAGACAATAAACTGCCGACACACATGCTTATACGTAGTGTAAGCCAGCATTCCAATGCCAATCCACACTTTAGTGTATTATGTGCTTCTGTTCTGCCGTTGGGTTTGCACGTTGTGAAGATCTGTGTTTCTTGTGGATGTAAAAATCACAACATGTCTGTCTGACAACTAGCATCTGGCCTACCTGCGTCAAAAACGTCCAAACCATATCACATCGTCGGCAAACCTTAGATTAGTCAAGCACATCTGATCAACAACGCAGAATCGCATCCCATATATCAACTTGTCTCATTTGGTCTGGCAGTATTTGAATATCTCTTCACGTAAACAGCTGATGTGCAGAAAACTGAGCGGGTCGTCCTGTTTTGTCCTGCACTCTATATATATATATATACACATGTATATATAAATATATTGAATTCTCTGCTGTCCGCATGTGCATTCACAGTTGTCGCCTGGGCGCAGTACAAATTCGATATTGTGCTGGCATCTGGCCAGTGTCGCCGATCCGGGGCGCTCCGCATGATAATGATGATGCTGATGATGATGATGATGATGATGATGATTAGGATAGTGTTGATCATGGTACTGGACATGGTGAAGAGCATGAAGATGGTGATGACGACGACGAGAATCAGGATTGTGATGCTGGTGGTGGTGGTTGTGATGATGATAGCGGTGTGCCCACAATGATACTGATCATACTGATGACGTTGGTGTTGATGTTGATGATGTGGATTATCAGGGTACTAAGGATGAGACAGTTGGTGAGGACGGCGATGGTGATGGTGATGTTACTGATGATAATGATGATGGTGATGCTGATGACGATGATGGTGATGATGAGGATGATGCCGTTGACCATGGTGATGGTGGTGGGGATGTTGATTACGACGGTTATGATGCAGATGATGAAGAGGAAGATGTAGGTCAACATATGCTGCGTCTTCCGTCTCCACATCTTGTGGAGCTCATAGGGGGCCGTCCTGGGGCTGTGTGTGGCCTTTTGTGAAGAGGGAGGAAGAGGAGGAAGGAGGGAGGACGAGGGAGGAGGGAGAAGGGAGGAGGCAAGAGGTAGGGGGGAGAAGGGAGGAGGGATAAAGGAGGAGGGAAGGAGGGGAGGAATGGAGGGATGAGGGAGGAGGGAGAGGTGGTGGAGGAGGAGGAGTGGCAGAGAGGAAGGAACATGATGAGGGAGGAGGAGGAGGAGCAGGAGCAAGTTGAAGGCGCCCTCTTGGGCCGTTTGGAGGTCGTTTTGGGAGCCGCTTGAGCCGTCTTGACGCGGTCTCGGTGGCCTCTGGGACCGTCGGAAGCGAAGCCCCCCGCCCCCGAGCACTGCATGGCGTCGGGAATTGCGCCCCCCCCCCCCCTGCAGAGCGAACACTCCCCCCCCCGGCTCCCGAGTACTGAATGGAATGGCGTCGGGAATGGCCCCCCCCCTTTGCAAAGCGAAACCCCCTGGGCTCCCGGGCTCCCGAGCACTCGTCCACCCCCCGCCCCCCCCCCCCTTGCAGAGCGAACCTCCCCCTCCTCGGCTCCCGAGCACTGAATGGAGTCGGGAATGGCGTCCCCCCCCCTTGCAGAGCGACCCCCCCACGGCTCCCGAGCACTGAATGGCGTCGGGAATGGCGTCCACCCCCCCCCCTTGCAAACGAACCCCCCCCAGCTCCCGAGCACTCGTCCACCCCCCTCCCTCGCAGAGCGAACCCTCCCCCCCCTGGGCTCCCGAGCACTGAATGGCGTCGGGAATGGCCCCCCCCCCCTCTGCAGAGCGACCCCCCCCGGCTCCCGAGCACTGAATGGCGTCGGGAATGGCGTCCCCCCCTGCATAGCCAAGCTTGAGTGAGCTCAAGTCCACGCTCTCAGAAACTCACACGGCAGATCGGCGGGTTTTGCAAGGTCTAGGGACATCCTGCGAAGACATGCTGTCCACAGTGACCTGTGAGACACTGTATCGAAACTTGTTTTGAGTCAAGCGTAGCGGTCCACACAGGGAGTTGCCACTCCTATGCCTCCTCTTGCAGCATCACCAACGTGAACAGACGATCATCGGTACTGTAGCGTGTGCAGAAACAAGCTGGAATTCCAATATGGGTTCGAGTCGATTGTAAATCATGGACGAAGACAGCTTGTACATCAAAGGAATATGTAATTTCCTAGCATGCGCGGATCCCCATATTTGAACAGTACTATCAAGCTCGTCCGCTTCCACGCTGGTGCACGCATGGTGGTTCAAAGCTTGATGATGTCACTGTAAAGACTCAGAAGCACAATCTTCAAGTTGAGGCCGCCGCTTTTCAGCATCTCCGCTGAGACTCCTTCAGTGTCCGCGGGCTTGCCATTTTGAGTCATCGAATGGAGGGAATACGTGGAGGAGGGAAGAAGGAAGGGAAGGGATAGGAGGGAGAAGGGATGGAGGAAGGGAAGGGGGAGAGGAGGAAGGAAGTTGGAGGGGGGCGCCGACGTGAGGATGGGGGAAGAAGGACAGGATGCAGGGTGAAGGAGGGAGGACGTTGGGAGGACGGTGTGAGGACGGTGGGAAGGAGGGAAGGACGGGTGGTGTGGGAGGAAGGGGAGGGGGCGAGAGAGGGCGGTGGCGTGTCAACCCTGCTGGGAGCAGCAGCCGTCCTGCGGGGTCCATGCTGGAGTCGCCCGCACCCTCGGCAGGAAGCGCTGCGAAGAGCATGTCCTCGCGATGGTCAGGCTGTGCCCGCCTCACCTCCTCGCCCTCCTCCTCCTCGGCATCCTCCACCCGTGTCCTCCCCCCTCTCACCACTCACCCCCTCCCTCGCCCCCATGTGCCTGCATCCCAGCTCGTGCTTTGCACTCGCGACATTCGCGCACGCGGTTGATCGCGGATCGTTTCCAAATTCGCACGCCTCGATCGTGGAAATCTCCAGGCGCTTCGTAATCCTCCGCGCTCGAGGTGTTCGCCCTCCCGCGGAGCCGCGCCGCGGAGTCCCTCGCGGCTATCTCTCGCGCTCGCGGTGCTCCTCATGACGCTCGCGCCCTTGTGCAAAATCGTCGAGAAGTTCCCAGTCGTGGATTTCACTCGCTGAATGGACCAATTGGGCATTCGCATGGTATTCACGGTCGTGGAGTTCGCGCTCGTGGCAGTCCTGCTCGAGGAGGTCCTGCTCATGGGTGTGAGTTCGCCCCCAGGCTGGACTTGGGGGTGGGGAAATTGCACGTCGGGTGGACAGGGGAGGGAGGAGATGGGATCCTTTCTAGAAAACAACTCAAGCCCGCAATTATCTCGGGCAGCGCATGGTACGCGCGGCCACAGAGGGGGGAGGCGCACCACTCACCCATCCCACCGCCGTACGAGGGATGCGAAGGCACTCTGAGCGGGAAGAGGGGGGCACGGGGGGGCCACGACATGTCACCCCGCACCCGAGTGGAGGCCACGACATGAGGGGCACTCATTGGCCACTTGGGTTAGCCACAGTGAAAAGGGAGAGAAGCGTAACGCATCTGCCAACCATGAGCATAACATTCCAACATTGAGCTCACTATCCCCATCCCTCATCCCATGCGCATCATGGTATCTCCTTTTTGTCCGCCTCCCTCCGCCCTCCCTCGTCCCTCATACCCGCCACCTCCTCCCCCATCTGTACGCAGTTCCACTATTCCGATTGCGCAAGACAATATGATCTCCTTCTGCTGGAGTCTCAGGTCGGCTATGACACGCGTCAGCGGATGGAAACAGAAGCCGCGCTGTGGTAATGGATGGAAGGGAGGGATAGCATGTCGGGCATGGCGCGAGCGCACCTAAATTGTCCTTCCCCTTCCTCCTCACCTCCCTCCATGCGTTAAAGTTGAACGACTTCTGACGTCAGCAGCCGCGACTTGCTCAAACTTTCCCTGCACATCTATGGATATACCTGGATTCACATGGATTTGCCCAGATTTACCTGGATGTACCTCGATGTATATGCATGTACCTGGATTCCTCTGGGTCGATCCCCACAAGCCGATTGGCGAAAAGTCGTCAAGCCCTTACGGATCCCTCCCTCCCTCATCCCGCCTCCCTCCTCCCTCGCCCTTCGTCCATCGCTCGACCCCCGCCGTTCCGCTCTCGCACACGTCGCCCATCGCGTCGTCCATCGTCCGAAGCCTCTCTGGAATGGGTCTCGAGCACGAGCCTTCTCGGAAGAGCTCCAGGCGGAACTTTCACGCAGCGAAGACGGCCCCGAGGATCCCCAACGGGCTCCCAAGCAGGGCTCAAAGAGGCCAACGGGAGACCCCCCCCGGAATTCCCCAAGGATGCTCCAAGAAACCTCGAAGAACCATCCAATGCACAACGCGACAACTTGTTTTTCCAGCGCGCATGCCTCGGAGAGGGGAAGGGGAGGAGGGAGGGAGTGCGACGAGGACACCCGATGACCAGAGTGCCACATGTCTCGTCTCAGCGCAATGGTAAGGCTTCAGCGTGGGTTGGCAGACTGCGGCAATAGGCAACGTATAAATTGCACGGATAATCTAACGAGCAAAAGCGGCAAGAAAACACAACGCGACTTATAGTAAACCGTGCGGCTGCGCCACATCAAAAAATGTAAAGCGAGCTCATACTTAATTCTATCGAGCCTGTTCGAACAGCTCCTTAGAACAACCCTGCGTGCAGTTCAACGCTGCACTTGCACTGTGGCAGTGTGTGGCGCAAGAAGCTGAACATCGTCGTCACAAGTCGCATCCGCGTCCTGAAGAGCACCAAGACGGATAAGCACGGAAATGAGGAGGACTGAACACCACGGGAACACGAAAACGAGCGTATAGGAAGACGCATCCCCGCGAAAAGGCACGGATGAGGGGTGAAGAGCAAGATGTGGAGCAAAAGACCGAAACAGGAGAACAACTCAAGGAGAGGATGAGAAGGAAGACCGGAGAAGATTTGGGAAGGAAGCAGTGGAGCACCGCAAAGGAAAATAATTCCCTCGCGGAATCGCATGAAGAGAAACAATACAAGTTACAGCAACACGGGCACCGCGAGGAATCTTCCACATCCGCCTGGACCCGCTTTCCAGAAAACGCTGGCTCTGATAGATTAAATGCCCCCCTGGGCTTGTCCAGAGTGGACTGGTGAGAGCCACACCATCACATGTCGATGGAGGTCAGAGTCGCTAAACTGCATCAAACGCACAATTGCATCGTTCGGTGTTCCTTCACAGTCTCACTACTTCCCCCTACGTGTCCACCACCCGTAGAGAACCCCCAGAAATCAGTCACCGCGACGCGGTCAACCCGCCCTCGCTTGCAACTCTCCCCCGTTTCCCCTCCGCAGGCCCAGGGCGCAGGGAACGAGCCTCCCCGCCGGGCACGGCGCCGACACTCAAAGAAAGCCACCAAAGCGACCATTTGGACGCCCGAACCGGGTACGGAAAAGGTGGGCACAATGCCCAACAACAAATGTTGTCCCAAGCCAACAGCGGCCGCTGTTGGGCAGGCGGCATTCTGCCTCGAATGTGCACAGGCCGCGGCGACACCGACAGCGAGTCCTGTTCAAAACGAACAGGAACCGCTGTTGGGCGTTGTACCCATTCTTTCCGTATCCGTTTCGTTCGTGCCGAGACGAGGGCTGCCGCGCGCGTCCTGCGCAGCGTCGCGTTCCTGCTCCATCTGGGCAGCAAGAGACGCCCGCCTCAGCAGCTCCGCCGCCTTGGACGGAGCCCCGCGGACCTGTCCGCGGGCCAGCGCCGCCCCTCGGCCCTCTCGCCGCTCCGGGGCTCCAGCTATTCCCTGCGCGTGGTGCAGGCCTGCCAGCCTCCCTGCCGTCCCTGCTCCGTCCCGGCTTCCTCTCCGTCTCCCCTCGTCTCCCCCCCTTGCTGCTAGAAGGGGGGATCGGTAGGAGGGGGGACCGGCCCAGGGTGGGGGGGGGGACATTGAGCTGGCCGCTGATGGATCAGCGAAAGGCCCCCGATGGCGAATCCACCCGCTCCTAGGAGAAGAGGAGAAGAAGCTATCAGGCCTCTATCGGCGATGGCTGGGCGATTGGTGGTCGATACGTTCCCCTCTGAGCCAGTCCCCCCGTACGTTGATCCTGACTTGCTGCTGCTCCAACGACGGCCCCCTGGGAGACCCAAGACGGCCAGGATGTGTTGGAATATCCTTCTCTCCTGCATCTTACATAGATGATTCCTCCTCCTCCTCCTCCTCCTTCCTCTTCCTCCTCCTCCACCTCCTCTTACGATCAGCATCAGCAGCATCAGCATCAGCATCATAATCAGCATCAGCATCAGCATCAGCATCAGCATCATTTCAGCCTTTCAGCCTTTGTGCCAACAGATCCCACGGCGTGAGACCAGCAGCAGAGGAAAGGGGGGGGTTGGGGTCGGGGTCGAAACAACCCACATCACCTCTTAATGGGGATGATGCTACGACCAAAGAAACGTCTGGCGCTGGGATCGATGCCTCTCTTGAGGAGGTCAAGGGAGGCAGCAGCACTCCTGTTCTCAGGATGCCCCAGACAGGGAGCATCAGCATCATCATCATCATCATCATCATCATCATCATCATCATCATCATCATCAGAATCATCATCATCATCATCATCATAATCATCATCAGCATCATCATCAGCATCATCATAATCATCATCAGCATCATCATCGTCATAATCATCAGCATCGTAGAGTATCATCATTATCATCAGCCTCACCACAATCATCATCCTCAGCAGCATCATCATCATGATCATCATCATCAGCAGCATCATCATAATCATCAGCATCAGTATCATCATCATAAGCATCACCACAATCATCATTATCACCATCAGCAACACCATCATCAGTCGCAGTCGCATAAGTCATGATCACATTCAACATCAGCATCATCATCGACATCATCGTCATCATCATCCAAATCACCACTATTAGCATCATATGCATATTGAGCATCATTATCAGTATCACTGTCATCATCATAATCGTTGTAGTCGGCGTCGTAGTCGTAGTCGTCGCCGCCACCATCATCGTCATGATCAGCATCAGTATCATCAGCATCGTCCACATCATCAGCATCATCATCAGCATCATCGACGTCAACACCATTGGCAACATAATCAGCATATCATGGTCATCGGAAAAATCAGAATCTGCATCATCATCATAATCAGCATCGTCATCAGCATCAGCATCATCATTAGCGACAGCACCATCATCATCACAAACACCAGCAGCAGCCGCATCTTTGTTGACATCGTCATCAACATCATCAGCATCACAATAATCGTCAGCAGCGTCGGCATCATCATCAAAATCTTCGTCATCAGCATCGTCATCATCGTCAGAAACAGAATGATCATCTTCAGTATCGTCGTCATCATTATCATCATCAGCATCATCAGCATCATCAGCATCATCCTCGTTGTCGCCGTCGTAAGGAACACAATCATCATCAACATCATCAGCATTATCAGCATCGTCATCATCATCATCATCATCATCATCAGCAGCATCGTCATCAACGTCATCGGCGTCAGAATTACCATCAGCCACACTATCAGCAATGCCACCATCAGCAGCAGCATCATAAGCATCATTACACTCATAACCACACTCACAACCATCATAATCATAGTCGTCGTCGCCGTCATCATCAGCATCAACATCATCATCATCATCATCAGCATCATCATCAACATCATTACAATCATGATCGTCGTCGTCGGCGGCGTCATCGTCATCGACATCGTCATCGCAATCGTAAGTAACATTAGCATCGGTGACAGCATCACCAACATCATCTTCGTCATCAGCGCCACCAGCGTCATCAGCAATGTCGCCAGCATCATCTTCATCAGCATCATTAACATACCCATCATAGTCATCATCATCAGCATCATAATCATCAGCGCAATCGCCGTCAGCAACGTTATCATTTACCATCAGCATCACCATCATGATCGACAATAGCATCACCATCAACATCCATCACCATCGTCATCATCATCACGATCTGCATCATCATGAGCAGCAGCATCATCATCATTGTCGTCATCATCATCATCATCATCATCATCATCAGCAGCAGCAGCAGCAGCAGCATCACCATCGACATCAACATCACATTAGTCGAAAAAGTATGGACACGTTTCAAGGGTTCGAATGGTCAAAACCCTAGGAATGGTGCCCTGGAACGACTTAGGACTGTTAGAACCCAATGGTCAGGTTGATTCGCCGTGCCAATGTCCCAGGAATGTTATGCTGGCTCGATTTGAACTTGCCAATTCTCAACAATGACGCTAATTCGCTGTAGTGAAGTCCCAAGTTGTTGTGTGCTGTTTGTGTGTTGACACGATTGACCTTTCTCAAACGGTTGCCTTCCGGTGGGGCATTTTGCATTAAAGAAAACAAATGTTTGCAGAGACCAATGAGGGAAACGTGGAGGGAGGGGTTATAGCAACATTGCTGATGCGGCTTCAGTCTGCACTGGTCTTCCTCCTCTTCCTCCTCCTCCTCCTCGTCATCATCATCACCATCATCATCACCGTCATCATCATCAACATTGTCATCATCAGTATCATCATCGTCATCGTCATCTTGATCGTAATCGTCATACCCTTAACTCCTCATTGCTACTTCTGGTCTTTATCTCTCTCACCTCTCCTCACCCCTCTCTCTCCTCCCTCCCTCCCTCCCCCCTCCTTCCTTTCGTTAGGCAAACATGGGCGAAAAAGCTGTTGCGCTTGTACCCCCTCCCTCCTCCTCCTCCTCCTCCTCCTCCTCCTCCTCCTCCTCCTCCTCCGCCTCCGCCTCCTCCTCCTCCCTCCCATCGTCCCCCGCTCCCTTCGCTCCCTTCCTCCCCTCGCATCCAGCATCCAGCATCCATTTCCACACCGCAGATGCGACCAGGCTACCCACAGCTGAGCACCGCTCCCCACCTCCTTCACTACAGGCCACCGAAACGCCAACTGTCCCCCCCATCCCCCCACCCCAAATTCACTTCCCCCGCCAACTGCCCCTGCCAACTGCCCCCGCCTCTCACTTCAAGCCACCGAACCGCCAAGAACTGCCAACTGCCACCCCCCATTACAGTCTCACTGCCCCCAGCAACTGCCCCCGCCAACTGCCCCCACCTCTCACTGCAGGCCACCGAGCCGCCAACCGCAACTTGGCGGCGCGCACAAGAGTGCAGGGGAATGGAGAAGGCTCCTTTGCAGGAAGCTGCTTCTTAGATGGCACGGGCCTTACCTCTGCATATCAGGCCCGCGACTTTTAAGAAACAGGATGTTTCTAAGAAGCCTTCCCCCTTCCTCCTACCCCCTGTCTGCGCGCGGCTGAACCTCTCTCCCCATCGTCCCCCTGCTAACGCCGCACGACCCGCCTTCCGCTCCCCTCCGAGGCCCGCCCCACCCCGCCCGCTCCCCCCCGCGCCCCCACCGGGCACCGCCGCATCCGCCACCCGCCCGATCCTCGCGCGCACGGGGGCGCCCCACCTCCGCAGAGCCCGCCGGCGCGCGGAAGGCCGCGGCGACGTCCCCATGGAAGCCCTCGTCCTCGGGAGGCCCGAGGAAGCCGAGGGGGCCCTGGCGGGGAGCGGTGACATGCGGAGGGGTCCATCCGAGAGTCCCGGCCCGAGAGCTGGAGACCAACCCAGAATGAACGGCCGACGCAGCGGGGATGTGCGTCGGCGACGTCGGCACGGAAGCGGGCGTGGCCGCGGCGTTCCCATGGAAGGCCTCGTCTTGGGGAATCCCGAATGACCAGCAGAGCCAGGGGGAAGCCCAGAACCTCTGGCGCCACGAGCCAAGACGAGGCCCTCTGGATGCCCGCCTGAAGCCACAGGGCCACCAGAAAACTACCTGGGATGAGGAACTGGTCCTGGGGATGGGGGCCCACAGGTGTGATGTCGGATGTCTCGGAGGGGGGGAAGCTGACGTTTTTGAGCCTTGCTTAAAAGTTGCTGGTGCCTGTGGACGGCACGTCGCCATCACGTCTGAATTCGCATCGGAATCATGGCCGAAGCGCGCAATGTGACATGTCTGGAATTCGCCTCTCAAGGCAGACGACACAAACCACAAAGCGTCGCGAAAAAACACGGGCTTGGTGCAAGAATGTAGGGTGGCGATTATCTGCCCTCCAGCTGGATCCCCAAGGGTTTTCCGGAGTGGGGTCCCGTCCACGACACTTCCATTGGACATGTTGAGGCGCATTGCTTTGTTATGTTGCGCGTATGCAATACCGTTGGTTGGATTGTTGTCATGAGCCACACTTGGCTGTACGGTACCACGCTGTACCCGCACGCATATGCTGTGTTTTGGTACGCAATGTTCTAACACCTACCAAGTACACAGTACGATCATGCGACTCGATATGGTACGCCACGGCATGGTGCATAACGCCACGCCTACACTCTACCTGTCACTACATTGATGTGCACGCGGAAAGCAAGACTGTTGATCCCACAACAACATACGAGCATGTTTTGTTCGGAGGGCATTCGAACATAGAGTACGAGATCCAGCATTCGAGATACTCTCGGAAGTGAACTCCAAAGCCAGCTGGTGGCAAATGCGTATCGTGCTGCTCCCGCAGCGTGTTATACAGTGGTGTTATACAGTGGGCACTCTGTCACGACATGTCGCATACTCGGCAACACAGGCCCCCACCACTTGCAACCCTCGTCCGCGGAGAAGAAGCACTATCCCCGCTGATACTTAGACAGAGTTGTTCCTGGGTAGAAGCGAACTTGTCAATTTCGCGCACAACTCGACTGAAAATGAGTCAAAGTCCACTTCATCAACTTCCTCAGCGTCCAAACAAAACCGAATCACAATCTGCACACATCGCACACTTGCGACGGCCTGGAGCCCATGCTGAGCACGCGTCGGTTCGCGATCGTCCAGAAACGTCAATGGTCATCCACCAGATCCTCCGCTGTTTGATGTGCTCGGTGAGCGTCCGCTGGGTCGGCCTCCATAACGAAAAAATACGCGAGCCGAAGCATTCGCAAGGAATGATGTCTCCCAGAACGGAGACCACACAAGCTGTTCGTCGGCAGTGTCTTTGGAAGACACAAGCGCTGTTAAACACTGGGTGAAGCCACATGTGATGGCCCCACTACAGTCCAAGACACCACCACGTCTTTGATGTGCACCACACTGCCTTGGCAAAGTATTTGCCAAGCCTTGTGGGAGAAGGGGAGAAGGCCCTGCCACTGGACTCGCCAACTGCCCCAGAGTCCTCGTGCACGCATATGCCTATCTAATCCTGACCAAATGACTGCATGGAATCGTCGTTAAGGTGACGGTCGCCGATTCTACTTTGCCCAACCGCTGTCGAGGAACGATGTGGACCGAAGGGTCAGTAGGTACGCACAAGGTACCCCAGTGTTCGATCACTTTCGGCACAAGGGTCAGAATCTGACCAACCCTACCTCGTACTCACATTCCCGCAGAATCCCACACCACCGTCGAACTGCATCGTCGTACCCAGATCGTCTTGAAGACCCTCCGGAGACTGAGACACCAGAGATCTGGGGTCCATGTGAGACTGAAACACCAGAGACACACTCGCGCACAAGCGTTGCAAAGGCGTGAAAGTTGCAATAATAGTAGCTGATGCCGCAGAGTCTCCCTGGGACAAACCTCTGATAGGCCTGAAATGCGATGATTCGCACTGCTCTGGTATACCGTAGCGTGCAGTGTTAAGCTAAAGCACACGCCGAGTTGATGTTCAACCAATTGATCAATGCAAAACAGATTGATGGTGTGAACTACAATGCCGTGCCATGCTACGAGTGCGCTTGCAAAGCATGTCAAGCTCTACCGTGGGAAGGTACGCAATGATATGCAACGAAGTGTTGTGCTACGCCAGGGCACGCATGGTTCTACATGCTGGGCAGCACTAAGATATAACATGACATATCATGGCATGTGTACACATATAGATGTGTGCATGCATGAGTGTGAGATGTCATGTCTTGCCAAGCTATGTCATTATGTCCAGTGTGACGGGACGCGCCCATGCCATGATACGACACGTAAGCGGTGCCAGGGTACGCACCACTGTGGCATACTACTCAAGAAAGAGATTGCACTGGAGTAATGTGCTGTTCGTTGCATTGAACCATGGAAATGCATCGCAGATGTCTGCACTCAGCCTCAAATGTATGCACTTAGCAGTGTGGTCGCACAAGGCTCACTGGGTCACTGGGGACACGCTCCGCGTCTCATGAGCGTCTTTGGGCCCTGGGCCCGTCAAGAAATATCCGCAGCAGACTTGTGTCCAGGGGGTGGGGTCGCTAAACATCGCGCGCTGTCGGAGGTATGGGTCCCTTGCGGCAGGTTCTTACTCTGACGTAACTGGCCCTGCAATGTATACATATATATATATATATACATATATATACATATATGTATATGTGAGAGAGAGCGTGATCCAACCTTTTCCTCCGGAACCCGGGGGTCTCCCCCCCCTCCGAAAATCCCCCCCCCCCCCCTGCTGGAACCCCCCCCCCCCCCCCGGCAAAACCCCCCCCCTCCCCTAACCCCTCCCTCACCCCCTGCCCCTCGAAAACCGAGGGGGGTCACTACCGGTTCGAACCCCTCCCCCTCCCCCCCCCCCGGATCTGGAAAACCGAAGGGGGCACTACTGGTTGGACCCCCCCCCCCCCCCTCGAAAACCGGAGGGGGGTCACTACCGGTTCGACCCCCCCCCACGCACCGCCAGCAAACGACTCCCGGTCCCTACCACCGCTCGCATCACATCCCCCACTGTTGTTCCCAGCACCACTGTCCTCACCACCACTGTCCCCACTGGTTCCACCACCGTCCCTATTGTCCCCACCAGTGCCCCCACCACTGTCGCACTGTCCCCACTGTTCCCACCACTGTTCCCACCACGGTTCCACTCTCCCCACTGTCTCCACGGACCCAACCACTGCCTATCCCCACTGTCCCCACTGTCCCACTGACTCCTCCGCTGTCCCACTGAGCTGTCCCACTGTTCCCACCACTGTCCCCACTGTCCCCACCACTGTCCCCACTGTACCTCTGTCCCATTGTCCCACCGCCGTCCTCGCCACCGCCTTTACCACTGTCCCCACCACCAGTGTACCCTCCACTGTCCCACTGTTTCCACCTCATTCCCACTGTCCCCACACCACTGTCCCAACCACCACCGTCCCCACCACTGTCCACTGTCCCCCCTGTTCCCACCATTGTCCCCACCACTGTCCCCACCACTACCGTCCCCACCACTGTCCCACTGTCCCACTGTCCCCACCAGTGTCCCGCTGTCCTCTCACCACTGTCCCCACCAACACCGTCCCCACCACTGTCCGCACCCCCACTCGGTTTTCGAGGGGGGGGGGTTCGAACCGATAGTGACCCCCCCCCCTTTTCATGATGAACTGGGGGGGGGGAGAGGTTCGAACCGGTAGTGACACCCCCCGGTTTTCCGGGGGGGGGGGGGAGGGGTTCGAACCGGTAGTGACCCCCCCCGGTTTTCCGCCAGCAGCGGTAGAACACGCTCTTTCATATATGTAAATACATGTGTGCTTATCTATATATATATATAATGGCGCCGCGCGAACGGTTTGATACTGAACGCTCTCCACTCTGAGAGGTCTTGTGCGACTGCCGACTCCATGTACACACCTATATGTACTGTGTGGATTTCACGACTTGGATCCCGAAACACCCCTCTTCCGAAGGTCTTCAACCTTGAACCGCTGCCAGCGTCGCCGCCCGACTGCTGTGTTTGACGAGTGCTGACGACGACCCTCCCTGGTACCCTCACGGCACCTTCCGGCCACGACGGCGTTGGTCCTGCCGTCCCGCGAGCCGTCCAAACTTGAGCGTTCTCTGCTTCCAGCCGCCGAGCGCCCATGGGGCAGCCTTCGACCCTCAGACTTGAACGCCCAAACCCATGCCGCCACCGCTGCGCCGAGACGGCGCGAACCTGCCGTGCCCTCGGGGCGGTCCGACTGGCACCCCCGCATGCTGGGAACATCCCTCAGCCTCTGCACAGCGCGCCAAGGGCGCCCTCCCAGAGTGGGAGCGCACCGAAGGATCTTCCGACGTGTCCCTGGCGCCTGTGCAGCACCTGCCACGACCCCACGAAGCAACCCCGAGAGCCTCCCCAGCGCTCAAGAGGTCAGAAGAGGCTCGAGTGTAGACCTTCAGCCTCTTCTCCCCCCATCTCTCCCTGCCCCCCCGATACAAAATTGTGGTGGAACTCACCAGAGGAAGCGTGCGAATCTCAGCAACTTTGCGAGTTCCTTCTGTGTGGGGGCATGGTGTTCGCGCCCTCGCCGTCCAGGCGCCCGCTGCATCGGGGAGGCGAAGCGCCCGCTGGGGCCACCCAGACGCCCCCTTGACCCCCCCCAAGGAAAGACTTGGAACCCCCCAGGAATGCCTCCCCGCTGCTGCCAGAACAGGTCGTGCATACCTGGGCGCTGGATTCCGACATCGCTGAGGTCTCTGAAGCTTGAGACTCGAGCACTCCAATCCTGAGCGTCCGTGCTGGCGTCGCCGCTGCGTCGACGATGCACGAACCTGCCGCACGCCCCGCCGCGCCAGGGACCACTCCCCAGCACGGATCCGCCTCCCCTCCCCCCTCCTCTCGGCTGCACGCAAGAGTGGCCCTGGGCAAGAGGCGACCTTCGGCGCGCGGCCTGCCAGTCGCTGCATGTGGTGCGACAGCAGCGGCCTGCGTGATTGGCGTTGACCCTTGCGTTAAGTCGGGCCTGTCCCCCTACAGGCGGATTTTGGGCGAAAAATGAAAAATGATCTCAGAATAATCAAAAACAATACAGTCCCCAAAGTATGTTTTACTATGTTTGAAGACTTCTCCTGCAGAGAGATAGGCCCGACTTAACCCTTGCGCCCCCCGAAAGCCGCGCACGAAAGGTCACCCCGGCGAAGGGTCGCCCCTGACGTGTGGCCGATCCTCCCCGGGCGGCGATGTCCTCGTAGAGGTCGGCGTCCCAGCCCTCAAAGATGCCGATCGCTGGCCGAGGCATCGCGCCCCCCCCGGACCATGGCCCGCGAGCGCCCCTTCCCACAGAACCTCCGCGGCGGCCGGGAGGAGAGGACAGGAGGCGGAGGACGCACGGAGGAGCCACGGGGCGCTACGGTGCCCGGTCGATCCTCGAGTGCACCAGTGCATCTGCCGCAAAGCCAGAGCCCCGACGCGGACCGTTGGGAAGGTTGCCCGTCCTTACCATGCGGGTTGGGTGTACTCAAGAAGTCCTGTCACGTTTTAGGGGGAACTGGCGGCAGCCTGCTCACATGTCGTGGTAGTTGCCTGTAATTTAGGGCTACAAAGATGCCCAGCAGGCAGCCGGACATGTGATAGCCTGTGGCAAACATGATAGCGCATTGGTTGGAAAGATTGTAATGTGTGCGCACACGTGGCCCGCAGAGCATTCTGTGATACAGTCGGGACGCTGACCTAAGGAACCCTACATATGGAACGAGGCCCCTGTCTCCCCAAAGTTTAACTTCGATTTCCCATGGAACACCTCAGGGAAACCTAAGGCGAACTGCGCAACAATCAAGGAGAACGTTTCTGTATGTTCGGCGATGACGGGCGTCATGCGGGGGTGGGCGGGGGGGTGGGGGGGCGAGACGTAACGCCCCTCCCCCGCCGTGTTGCTCCGGCACCACAGCCGCGCCCGCGCGCACGACGCGACGAGCGACGAGCGACGAGCGACGAGCGACGAGCGACGACGACGACGACGACGACGACGACGACGACGACGACGACGACGCCGAGGACGACGCGAGCAAAATGTAGGTGGCGAGATGCCCCACTGCGCTTGTGCACACATCGCTCGCGTGCACCACAACGCGCGCGAACACCACCACACCTGCGCACACCGCAAGAACCAGTTCTTTGTTTGGGGGGGGCAATGCCCCAGGAGGACGGCGGTGACCGACGCCCCCTGCGCGCGCCACGGACACACGGAGGCCCGCCGCCGCCGATGACGCATGGGCCGTCGCGGCGCGGGGCGGCCACCGACGACGCGAAGGGCCGCCGCGGCGAGAGGGGCGCGCAGGTGGCGCCGAAGGGTCACGCGGCTAGCTCGGCCGCGCGCGGCGGGGGCGGCCGCGCTCGGAAGGCCCGGTGCATCGCCAGCCGCCGCGCCGTCGGCGAGGCGCGCCGAGCTGGCGGGGCGCTGGCCCCCGAAGACGTCGGACGCGCCCCGCATGGCCCACGTGCGGGGCGCACTGGGACGCCAGGGCCTTGATACTGCCGAGGCGCTCCCTGGCGTAGGCGCGGCACCGCGCGCACAGCACGTAGCCGAAGGCACGCTGCACTGCGTGGCCGAGGGCGCCGCGCGCCCGCGGCGGGCCGCCCTCGGCGTCGGTCTCGCCCCCAGCAGGCACCGCCGGGCCCGCCGACGGCTGGCTCTGCTAGCGGCCGCGCCGCGGGGATCGGGACCTCGAGGCGTCCTCCGAGGCCCGCTCGCTGGGAGGCGTGGCCCCCGCAGGGGCAGGCGGCTGGCCCCCCGAGCTCAGGGCTGGGCCCGGGCCGCGGGCCGAGCCAAGCGCGCCTGCGGTCGCGGGCACCTGCCCCACCGCGCTCGGCGCGGGGTCCTGGCCCCGATCTGGCCCGAGCACTCCCGCTTGGCTGTCGGCGCCGTCGGCGGCTGCAGCAGCTGCCACCGCCGCCGCCGCCATGGGCCGCGCCTGCTGCCAGGCTGGACGGCGCCGCCCTCCCGACCACCGAAGCGATCTCGGGGGCGCACGGGGCCCGATCCAGCACCTGCTTCGACCTCGCGGCGCGCGCCGTGCGCAGGAATACAGCGCAGCGCCAGGGGCCCGAGGCGAGCGCGCCGAACGACTGCGCTCGGTAAGGAGGCGGCCCCTGTTGGCCTCGTCGCGGGCCACGTAGCCGCGGGCGCTGTCGAGCCTGTCGGCGGCCGCGGGAGCACCTGCCGTGGCCGCCCAGCGCGCGACGACGTCGACGAAGAGCTGGGCACGCAGCTGCCGCTGTCTCTCGGCCATGGGGCGCGTAGGTGGCGGGCGGCCCCGCCTGCGACGTGGTCGGCCTCGCAGTTGCCACGGCGCCGCTGCCTCGCGATGACGCCGCGGGCGACGCGGGCGAAGGCGACGCGGCCCTTGATCTTCACGATCGTGAGCCCCGCAGGGCCGACGCCGCCGAAGTCGTGGAGCGCCTGCCACACCTGCCGCCAGAGATGCCTCCACGCTCGAGACGCCAGCGTCGAGCGGGCCTTGCCCCGAAGGTTGATGCCGTCGACGACGAAGCTACGTCGCAGTGCAGCTCGATGGGCGGGATGGCGCGCTGCAGGACGATGAGCACCGCCAGCAGCTCCGCGCCCTCGATGCTCTGCAAGGGCCCGACTAGAGGCGCGCCCATCGCCTGGGCGCGGCTGCCAGCGCCTGGGTCGACCTCCTCGGGGCCTGGAGGAAGCTCGACGACCGCTGCGGCGGCCTGCGCACCTCGGCCCGCGGCCAACAGCGCGTCACACAGCGAGCCGTCGCAGTATAGTGGCTGGCCGACGAATGGCTCGCTTGGCTCACCGCGGCACCAGCGGAGGTGGTCGAGGAAGCCGCCGCTGGGAGGCCCCCACTGGAGCTGAAGGGCTGGGAAGAGGACGCGCTCGACAAGGCACTCGACGACCGCGTTGCCCTTCTGCGGCAGCAGCAGGGCGATCTCGCGCGGGAGGCCGAGGCCGTGGTCCTGAATGGCGCTGCAGCAGAAGTGCCTGTGCCAGACGTCGCCGACGTGGTTGGGGCAGAGCTCGCAGAGGTCCGAGGGGCGCACCTCGGGTTGTTGCCGTACTTCCTGGCGTGAGTCCACTGGCCGCCGACGATGCAGTACCTGAGGTAGCCGCGCTGCTCGCTGCTGAGGCTGGGCCAGCTCCGTGCTTCCTGACAGGCGCCACGGCCGCTGGCCGCCCACCGCCGAAGCTGGCCGAAGTTGATGCCGACGTCGAGCCAGGAGGCGTCGTGCTTGCTGAGCTGCTTGGCCTGCCAGTGCTCGCAGCTGCGGCCCAGCAACTTCTTGGTGAGCCACGGGCTGGCGTCGCTGAGGCTGCGGTGAGGGCCGTCGTGCGCGGCCCACGCGCCCAGCGAAGCCGCCTCCCAGCCCACGCGGCGCATGGAATGGTGGGCGGCCTCCAGGGGGCCGCGGCAGTCGGCCCAGCTGCCCGACGCGGCCAGGGCCGCCGCGAACACCTTGTCCAGGGCCTGCCCGGGGAGCCACTGCTCCCAGACGGCCCTGTGCAGCGTGCACACAGGGTCGCCCGCCGCCTTGAACGCGGGGTCGTAGCCCCTGCCGATGGTGGCGAGGACGGCGGCGCGGCTCTTGCCAGGGGGCCTGATCTCGACTGACCTGAACGCCATCGCGCGCGCGGCGTTGAAGGTCCATATCGCTGAGCCCCGCGCAGCAGACGCCGTAGGCGAAGCTGGCCTCGGCGCCCTGCTTGAAAATCCTCGCCGCGACGCGGCGGCGGCGCCCTGGGCCCAAGAGCCTCCTGAGGCGAGGCACCTACCGCGCGGCCTGCTTGAGGCGACGCCGACGGGCGAGCCTGGGCGCGCGTCCTGCCGGGGCGCAGTCCACCCCAAGGTTGCGGGCGGCCCCCGCTGGCCGCGCCTTGGTCGCCTGCGCCAGGCGGCTCTCGAGCGCCGCGGCTGCCGCGGGCGCGTCGGCCAGCAGGAGCGACTTCTTGGTGGCGATGTGGATGTCCACCGCGCGCAGCTCGCCGACGACGCTGGCGACGCTGGCGACGAGGTCGTCGGTCGCGCGCCTGCTGCCTCCGACCCGCGGGAAGACCATGTCGTCGACCACGACCGACGGGGCGACGCTCGGCGAGGCCCGCAGGGCGCGGTCGAGCGGGCCGAGGAGAATGAGCTTCGTGAAGAAGGTGGCCGCATGTCCCCAGCGAGGGCCGCCTGCTGCACCTCGATGAGGTCCGAGACCGCGCCGTTGAGCTCCAGCGCCCGCGGCGCGCGGTAGCGGGAGATGTGGGGCTTCACTGCCCAGACAGGGAAAACGTGCTGCACGGCGGCGTCGACGAGTTGCCGGTGCCTCAGCTGCTCGAAGGCCTTCCACAAATCGAGGATGACCGCCACCGAGCCCCGGTCAAGGTCGGCCCCCTCGCCGCGCTTAGCCTTGAGCCACTCGCTCCAGGCCAGCTGCGGCCGGGCCGCACGCTCGCAGGCCTTGCCCGCGCAGGCGCGCCAGAAGGCCCGGGGCGGGCCCTCTCCCAAGCGGCCGCGACGTCTCTCCGCAAGCGCCCGCGGGCGCGCACCAGGGCGGCGAGGAGGGCGATGGACCTTGCACCACCTTCCTAATGCTGATGCACGACAGCTTGCTGATGAAGGGGGGCCAGCAGCACTCCTGCTCGACCCCCATGAGCAGATCGGTGATGACCTCGGCGCCACCGTCGTCGAGCGCGTCGAAGTCGCGGGGGCAGAAAAGCGTCGAAGCTCGCGCCCGTAAAGACGGCAAAACGGCGGAATACCTCGCGCATGCGGGCGACGGACGGCCGCGGAGGCCGCTCAGCAAGGTCGGCGGGCCACTGCGGCGGCGCCACGGGGGCGCCGACGTTCCAGTAGCTCGCCCACTCCTTGACGGGTAGCTCGACGCAGGTCTGCTGGCCGGCAGGGACTGGCAGCGGCGGCCCGCCCTCGCCGTCGGGCGCGTCGGCGGCCAGCGGGCGAGGGTGCCAGGGCATGGGCTCGCGCGTGAAGGCGCGCAGCCCCTTGCCGCCGCGCGCGCTGCCGGTCGTTCCAGTTGCCGAAGCGCTTCCTCGCCAACTTCATGGCGTCCTCGACGCACTGCTTCAAGATGGCGCCGACGAGCTCCACGAGGCACCCTGCCGAAGGCGCGTCGAAGGAGTCGAAGACGCTGCCGATGAGCGCCAGCGCCTTGCACATGTTGACCCGTTGCTGGTCGGCCATGTCCCCGTCGGTGTTCGGCGGCAGCCTGGAGCTGAGCCCGCGCAGGCAGAGCAGCCCGTCGAGGCTCGAGCGCGCGGTGCTCAGCGAG